GGGGGTGACAGCGGGACAGAGTGAAATAATACTGATTGTTATCGTTCATTAATTTGACATTTTTTCTAACATTCGAAGGAAATTCTTCAATGTTCCGTCAGGACTCTCCTTGGAGAAAATTAATTGGAGATAAACGAAATAATGAAATTCGTTAATTTCATCCATTTTTTGTAGTTGTAAAAGATATATATATATATATAAATTTTATACACATATATTTTACGTTGTTGTTCCATAAAAATGAATGCATTTCTATATGTTTGACAGGCGATAATCAGATCTATTATGAAACCGGTTCCGAAGGTCGTTTTAGAAGATTTGTTTAAGGTATGCTGCTGCCGAATTATTATAAGAAAGACCTAATTCCGGGCCCCAGTTATTATGGGCACAGTCTGTGACCATTGACATGTAAAATTCTTTTTCAATAATCCTGATAATTATTTTATAATATGTTATAAATGAAATGGCCAAGAAGGATTGAAAAATTATATTGAAAGGATTTTTTCCCCGTTCAACGATGGAAATAGGTGTTCTTATTACCCTATAAAATTAATTCTAGTACTGATTGGACATTATACAGGGTATCCCAAAATCCAATGTCCAAACCGAAAAGGTAAGTGCACGGGGCCATTTGGAATTGAAATGTGCTGAGGGACTTTTTGATCCGAAGACCCCTTCCCAAGTTATTCGAAGTTGAAGTTGGGCCAATGGAGAGCACGATGAGCGGGCGCACGACGGTGAGTGAAGTGTGAGTGTATTGGTGGTGTCCCCACCATGCGCCACAGCTCCCCTGCGGCTGCGGAAAAAGAAGACTGCCGTCGTCGATGTTTAGGCGCGAGCAGTGGGTTAGGAACAGAGGGGAAAAAACAAATAATAAATAAATAAGCCTTCGGCTCGGGTGATAATTTTGGACGTGGGGACGACTTGTCTACTTTTCTTCCCTAGGGGAGAAATAGTATATTTCTCCCCCTGTCCCTAACCCGCTGCTCGCGCCTACACATCGACAACGGCAGTCTTCAATTTCCGCCACCGCAGGGGAGCGGTGGCGCATGGTGGGCACACCACAAAACACTCACAATTCACTCACCGTCATGCGCCCGCTCATCTCTAGTTCTCCATTGGCCCAACTTCAACTTCGAATAACTTGGGAAGAGGTCTTCGGATCAAAAAGTGCTTCAGTACTTTTCAATTTCAAGTGGCCCCCTAGACTTAAGTTTTCGGTTTGGATTAGTTTGGATAAGTTTTGGGTTTTGGGACACCCTGTATACTCATATCGACTGACATTTCCCAAGCGATAATGTCCCAGTTTACGATATCTATTCCTAAAATGAATAACGCATTCAGTTCAGTAGCTCTAAGATCTCATGGCTAATAATCATGGCTAGTAATTTAAGGAAGGTTTCTCTTGTGATTAAATCAAAATTTGAATTTTTCCCATAGTTATGAAACTCGCTGAGTGAAGAATACGCTATTAGAATATTAAATGAATATTTCAAACTATTAACCAAGTTACAGCATTTGACTGACAAAGCGTTCAGTATTCTACAGTTAATTTCCAACCCATTAAACGTACTTTTTGCGACCATGTTCATTAGGAATGAACGACCAAGCTAATCAGTCTGTTTAAAACTAAGATAAACTCGGGCGGTTTCACCGAGAAATAATTATCGGAAAACTCCGACAATGATCGTGACCTGTCGGTCAACGGTCACCAGCCGAAATCTACCATCATCTTTGAAAAATCACCCCACTCACCAAGAGTCTATCATCGACAATCATCGCGTTCGTTATCAACGCTCACCGTGAAATCACCTATGTAACTCACCACGTAAAATCACCGCGTAAATCAACTACTTGTACATCAACTAAACTCAACTAAATTGTACATCAACATAATTTAACTCGTACATCAACAATTCAACTTGTAAATAAGTGTAACTGCATTGACATTGTCCACGCGTTTTAATAAATTAACTCAACGTTGTAAGTAATAATTTCCGCGAGCTAAACAGTTTTACAACCTCAACCGAGTTTCCTGAAATCTCCGGACCTACCCTACTCAACTATTCCCTCACCAAACATATGGTCCTTCGAGCCGGATTCCGGGATTAAATTCAGTGAAACTGCGAAAATCAACGAACAATTAGTGAAAAAATCGAGTGACTCAACATCGTGAAAATCAAAAGGACACCTCGTTGTGAACAGTTTTCGGGGTTCACACGAGCAATACAACGGATTTCGAGAGCAATAAAATTTAGACAATAGGTGTTTGTGACCGAAAGCAGACACTCGAAATCAAAACAACCGCGCTCGGCAATCCACACGGTTAATCCCAATTCAAGGGCAACGTTATCTATCTCTCTCTAATCGTGGTTACCTTTAACGAATTATCGACACCTCAACAATCTATAGAAATTAAAAACTGTTTAATCATCTCCGGTCGGTAATCAAGAATATCAACATGTCTTCTGACTCATTGATTGAGAGAGAAAATCAATGTGAGGATTCCGAAAATCAAGAGATCATTTCAGAACTGCTCACTACCAATACTGAGGAACCTCACCAATCAGCAGAGGTCAGGTATCATTTTACTAATTTACAATAAAATCTTGGCAAGTGATACGGCCTTCTATGTTTCTCCCCTCAGCAACATCAACATCATAAGAAGCTTCGTGCAACCCAACAGGAATGAGAGAATTTACAACTCTCTCACGTCCCCGGAACACCAATTATGAGGTCGACATCATCCGAAGGAATTTACGCCTCTTTCGAGGTGACAGATGCCTCAACAATCATGACACTCACCAGACTCCGAAGTCATCACGAACGATCTACTCACCAAGCTGCAGTTCAGCAGCACGAATTAACATCAAAATGTCCTTCACGCATCAATAAGAGGACGACGCCACGATCAACGCCTGTCACGAGCAGGAGAAGAGTGGCACATGTGGCATCAACAACGGAGAGAGCACCAGAGATATCAGCAAAGCCTCCTCCGAGAAATTGCTGTGCCTTCTGCACAGGAAGACACTACATCGCGAGCTGCGAGAAGTTCATCGCACTCTCATCGATCAACGAAGTCAACGGATTCAACTGCCACTGAGGGGATTTACGCCCCCCCTGAGTCAAGTAGAAGAATCAACTCAACAGCAGAGATCAACTGCAACAGTGAACCTCAACGACCAGCGGATCAGTGCGCAAGAGAAAATCACCGAGAATCAGAAATCATCAGCCATGAACAGCAATCAACGGCATTCAACGCAACCATCTGTGCTGCTAGTCACGGCGCTAGTAAAAGCAGCATCATCACGAGGATACCTGATTAATGCCACGGTGCTAATCGATCAAGGCTCGGAAATATCGTTCATCACCGACAATCTAGTTCATCAACTCCACCTGAAACGAGCACATTCAACGCTCGAACTAATCGGAATCCGTGGAACACCGTCAGGGACCACGAGAGGAGTGGTGTCAGTCGTGCTGCACTCAACGATTGGAAATCAATAAGTTGAAATCACCGCACACATCTTGAAGAAACTTACGACACGACTGCCATCATTCTCATGTTCATCGACGAGGATCGGCTCACTACAGGATCGTCAACTAGCCGATCCAGATTATCTAAGGCCTGGACCAATCGACATCATCATCGGATCAGACAACAACGGGCGGATCATCAAAGAAAAGGTTATCAAATCGACATCAACTCAACTAGTTGGCCAACAAACAGCATTTGGTTGGATAATATCAAGTCCAATCAACTGCCAAGGCTGTTCACCGAGAATCTCCTGAACTGCAGTACGAACTTCCGCGAACGAACAGTTACTAGAGCTTCTCCAAAAGTTCTGGGTACAGGAAGAAATCAACAAATCACCTGAGTGTCATGAGCTATCACCAGGGGATCACCAGCGCGAGATGCACTTTCAATCGACGCACTCCAGAGACGAAACCGGGCGCTATGTTGTGAGGTTTCCCCTGAAAACCTCAGCAACAGCCCTTGGTGACTCGAGGCTCAAAGCAACACGTCAACTACACTCGGTAATGAGACGCCTACAAAAGGATGAGGCGTACTCAGCCCTCTACAAGGCCTTCATCAGAGAATATCAACAGTTAAATCACCTTTAAGAAGCACCAGAGACTCAAGAACCCTCCCCAGCCTATTATCTACGGCACCACGGGGTTCTGAGAGACGATGCCATCACCACGAAACTACGAGTCGTATTCAACGGCTCCAGCGCGAGCTCAACAGGAATCTCATTGAACGACATTCTCTATTCTGGAGGACAACTGCAAGTGGATGCAGTCACGTGGGTGAGGAAACACCAGTTCGTTTTTAGGACGGACATCGTGAAGATGTTTCGCCAAATTCGAGTTCATCAAGACGATTGGGATCTTCAACGAATTTTGTGGCTCAACGAAGAGAAAAGAGAGATCACATATCAACTGACCACAGTCACCTATGGACTCAACTGTTCACCATGGATATTACTAAAAGTCCTTCAACAACTGGTGGAGGATGAAGGTCACCGCTTCCCAGCAGCAGTAGAGACCCTTAGAAAAGGTCGCTACGTTGACGATATCTATGGCGGTGCCGACTCCATCGATCAACAGAAAGAAATCGCTACTCAACTGCAAGGACTTTGCGAAGCCGGTGGCTTCCCACTCCAAAAATGGAGCAGCAACTCACCAGAAGCTCTTCAACAATTTGGTCTATCACCACAGAACTCAACAGTGCTTTTCGTAGAATCAATCACCAAGGCCTTTGCTGGTAGAAATCAACGGATACATTCAAATATGAGGCCGAGAACTTCTCCTCAACAACGTTCACCAAGAGATCAGTGCTATCAGAGATCGCCCAGATCTTTAATGCACAGGGATTCATCGCTCCAGTTGTCATCCTCGGCAAAATCTTCATCCAAAATCTATGGAGATTAAAACTTAAATGGGATGATCCTTTGCCGACGGACTACGTTCGACAATGGAGGAAATTTCGAGCGGAAATGAACGAGCTAGATAAGATCTCAATCCCGAGATGGCTCAGACTATCAACAGAATCGATCAACATACAACTCCACGGGTTCGCCGAGGCATCCAAATCGGCAATGAGCGCAGTAGTCTACATCAGATTAAAGAAACTTAACGAGCCGGCCTCAAAAATCATCGTATGTGCAAAAACGAGGGTGGCACCACTCAAGGAAGTGACCATCCCTCGCCTCGAACTCACCGCTGCACTACTGCTCACCCGTCTTATAAAGACAACTCACCAGATGCTCGAACTCAACAACGTGGTAACTCACCTCTGGTCTGACTCATCTGTTGCTCTGGCGTGGATCACCAGTCATCCTTCACGCTGGAAGGAATTTGTCCACAACAGGGTAGCAGAAATCCAAGAGACATTGCCAGAAGCAACATGGAGGCACATCAGTGGAAAAGACAATCCAGCAGATTGTGCCTCAAGGGGGATCTCAACAAATCAACTCATCGAACATCCACTCTGGTGGTCAGGACCTGACTGGCTTAATCTAGAGCCAGACCAGTGGCGACAATCAACAACAGACGTCCCTGCAGAGGTCTCGATGGAAGCGAAACCATCACCAGCTCATCCAGTCGCCGCTGAGGTCAACGTCAACGCGCTAGCAGAGTTGCTAGACAGATACTCAACACTCTCAAAGGTGCTGCAAGTGTCAGCGACCATCAACAGGGCAATCAACAGGTTCAGTAGGCAACCAACACCCCACACACCAGCCCTCACACCTGACGAACTCGACAAGGCTCGGCTGTTCTGGGTAAGACTTACACAAAAACAATTCTTTGCTTCGGCAATAAGGAGCCTGAGGAGAGACCATCAACTGCCAACGGGACATCAACTGACCAAGATGACTCCATTCCTAGATGAGCTAGGAATCATGAGAGTCGGAGGACGACTCAGAAACGCTGAACTAGACGCTGACGAGATTCACCCCATCATTCTGCCTCGCCAGTCGCGACTGACCACACTGATCATCGACGAAGCTCACCGACGAACACTACACGGAGGGACTCAACTTACGTTAGCAATCACCGGCCAAAATTACTGGATAATTGGCGGGAGGGGCACTGTTCGAGCCCAACAGTTGATGGGACAACTTCTCGCAGCAAGAGTCTCACCATCGAGAGCATTCCTCCACACAGGGGTGGATTATGCTGGTCAAATGCCCATACTCAAGTGGAGACCAACAAATGCTCAACCAGCCGCGGTGCACATCGCAGTCTTCGTCTGTCTGAGTAGATCAGCAGTGCACCTGGAGCTGGTCACGCGTCAAAGCACAGACGCATTCATCGCAGCATTCAAGAGATTCACCAGGAGAAGAGGAATCCCCCAAGTGATATATAGTGATACCGGAAGCAACTTTGAAGGAGTTGCTGGAGTCCTACATCGACTATACAACGAGGAATCACCAGAGAATCAACAACTTCAAGCTGCACTTGCCACAAATGGAACTCGCTGGAGCTTCATCCCACCACGAGCACTCCATTTTGGTTGTAACCGTAAATTCGCTTTCTTTAAACGGTCCAATACCTCTACAAGACCTGCGTTGTGCTCTCTGAGGCTTGCCCCGAAGATGACAATGTCATCGAGGTAGACAAAACACCTGATCCCTTGAATCCCCGCTAAGACTGAATTCATCAGTCTTTGAAATATTGCTGGTCCTCCTTTCACACCGAAAGGTAATCGGTTCAACTCGTAGTGCCCAGACGGCGTTGACAAAGCCGTCTTGCACTTGTCCTCCTCTGTCACTGAAATTTGGTGAAATGCCGCGGCCAGATCCAATGTGGTGAAATACTTCGCGTTTCCCAATTGATCCAGTATATCAAAGATATTCGGTAGTGGGTAGGAGTCGCCAACTGTGATGTCATTTAATTTACGAAAGTCAACGACTACTCGCAATTTGACTTTGCCTGATGCATGGAGTTTCTTTGGAACAACAAGCAAGGACGCATTCCACTGGCTGTTGCTCGGACGAACTACCCCGTTGACCAACATCTCCTTAACTTGAGGTTACACCTCTTCTTTTTGTGACTGGGGCAACCGATGGGGTCGCACGTTGACGGATTCGGTCCCTGGAACAATGGGAATGGAGTGTTCTAAGTGATTGGAGACTCCTGGAGGATCTCCTGGAAGTTGTACAATAGTGTTGTACTTCTCCAATATTTCCAGTAGACTCTCTCGTTCTTCTTGATTGAGGTGAGAAATCCTCAAATTCTCACGAAGGAACTTTATGCGATCTTGGTTGGTTTTCTTATTCCTTCCATCCATTTTTATGAGCATTATTTCCTGGGCTGTACATAATTCTTCAGGTTTTGCGAGCGGCCTTCTACAGAATACGTCATTCGTCAGTGGTATTCATGACGCATACGATTGCTCGACCGTCACGTGGCTTTGTGAGGCATTCACCCATGAAAACGCCAGGTTGCAATTGTTTCTGACGTACGATTCCATTCTGCGTGCTTGAAGTTGTAGCCCAAGCCAAAATTTCTGTCCTAGCTTTTACTATAATTGGCCTTTCAGGTCGAAAAAGCTGTAAAGATGTGCCATTTACTATGACGCACTTTCCAGGTTGTACCGACGTAGTCAGATCTCGCGATTGAAAGAAATCTTCACCAAGAATTCCTCCGAAACATGGAAACTCATTTGGCACAACGTGAAACACGTATCCTAATTCCTCCTTGCCAATTCTCAAATAAATTTTCACTTTTCCAAGTGTTACGACATCTTAGTTCGAAATTCCTCATAATGTCCTTCCCCCGGGCTGGACCTTGAGATCCTCTTTTAGCTCCCCGGTTTTAATTACGGATATGGCTGCTCCAGAATCTGCTAGGAACATCGTTGGTTGTTTGAGCTCATGCGCCGACAAAATAAGGCGATTCTTAGTCTTTGATGGCTCTGCAGATATAATTTTACGCCTTCTGAGATGGGTATCACCCAAAATAGTTCCTTGTTGACTCTCGTGACCCTCCACTTCAGATATTTGCATCATCGCAACTTGAAATGCCCCCATTGGTAATCCGTCACCATTCGACGAGCTCTTGTTTTCATGATTTTTTCTCGTGCTACTGTCAGCATTCTTATCGACCTGTTTTGGTGCATCACTTTTCTCCTTTAACTGCAACTCTGTATTGTCTGATATTCTACATTGTTTCCTCAGTTTAAAACAAGAAGTAATTTCATGCCCTAGAGTGTGGCAAAATTTGCACGTCACTCCATATGCGTTGATACTGCGTCGCTCTGGAACAGGTAAATTCGATTTCCGCTGTATTTTGCAGTTCGTTGCCTGGTGCCACACTTGCCTTTCGCTTGACAACAAGCGAAACATCCCGTCCTTAGGGATTATCGCCCTATTGATTGACGATTTTCTCCCTGAGAACGCCTGGAACTCCCAGAGCCTCCTTCAGATCCCGTCGAGCTCTTCACGAACCCATGGAACCCAGGCATAATTTTCTCCAGATCAACTGCTCTTAGACAGGCTTCATGCAATGTCATGTAATTATTTGCTCGAACCAAAATCTGAATTTGTCCACGCAAACCCTGTTCAAAATTAGCTTCTCCTAAGGTTAATAAGGCTTTCCTTGTTCCATTTTTCTCGCTCTCGTTGAGATCATTAGCCAACAAATTTTGTATACCCTCAATTAAATCAAGAATTACCCGTTCAGCTCGGGCCGCAAATTTGCTGACGTTGTTAAACTCCGCATGCAATCCCACAAGTGACTTTGTTTTGCCAAATAATGCTTCTAACTCGGCTTTTAATTCTCTCTCGCTGTTTCAATTACCTAATGCTTAAGCTGTACAAATGCCTTGCCAGCACGTTTATTCTTTAGGACTGTTTTCAGAAGTATGGAATGGAGTTCTGGTTGTACCAAGTCCTTTGCTCCTTCACACGATCCTAGAAAAGGTATTAATTCATGGTCACTTTCGCCGTTAAACGAATGTACCAATTGTAAAACGCCCTTTAGGTCTATAAGCCCTCTTTGAACAATATTCCGATTATTAGTAGTATTATTCATCCCAGCAGCCTTGTGAAAACGATGTATTTCTCCCCTAGCTCTCTGTAATTCGTTCCCTAATCGTTGCTTCTCCTGAGCGTGTTTCTTGAACCTTTCTTCTGGATCATCCAAGGCTTTTATTATTTCTCCTACTATCTGGTCCGTTCCATTATCCTGGACGAGTGCCTGAGTATCAAGATTATTAATACCTGATAGGTCTGGTTCTGGCATCATCCTTTGCAATGGTGGAGTAAAATTTCCTAGGAGGAATGATCCCCCCGGTACCGAAATTGGAGTAGATATGGGTGTTCTAAACTCTTCCCTCCTCATCCTGTCATTTCTCTCCGGTGAGAATTGTTGCTGCCTATTGTCATGATTCTGTTGCTCTTGCTGCTGTAGCTGCTGCTGTGGATGCTTCGGCGGCGCTGGTCCCGGTCGTATATGTACCCTGCTGTCATTGCCCAGCCTCTGCTGCAATACTCGTCCCTGTTGCCCTTGTGGCTGTAGTGGAACATCCGCCGCCAGGTGATCCATACTTCGAGAACGTTGTGGACCCCTTTCGGCCAAGGAACTGGAAGCACGGTTCCTTTTGTTGAAATTAAAATTCAATTCTCTACGCATCGTAACAGCACGTCGGAGTCTTTGTGCTTCTGTAAATTCGTCAGAAGTCTCCGCCGTTGATTCCAGGTTTACACCTGCTGAGCGTAAATTACTTCTGACCACACGGGTGAATTCCTCCAGAGAATCAAATTCGTCCTGAATATTTTGATTCCCTGATTCCATAAAGCAAAAGCAAAAGAAAACTTGCCTGTTCTGCTTGATTCCCTCGAAACCAAGAAAAACCAATACCACCTGGATTTCGCCTCTTTCCCCTCAGAGAAGTCGGCTGACACTATTCCGGCGTCCCCGAATAGCTCGATGCTTCCAAAACGAGTAACACGTTTCCTTTGAAGTGTTGAAAATTTCAACACTATTTTCTCAATTGCTGCCTCCAACGGCGGTTGATCAGCCTCCGTTATTTGAAGAACACACGCGCTGCCACCAAAATGTAATGTGCGGTAGAATGGTCGAGTAAAGATGGATTCAATCTCAGCAATTCAAGATAGTTTAGTATATTAATTTCTAACTAAAGAGTAACGGTTTACTCTGATACAGTAAAATATGTTTAAAAAGTAGACTCAAAAAAATTCAGTCTATAATAAACTCGATGATGAGATGATGAGCCCAGTGCAATCTCGGTTTTTATTGAAAACCGTGGCACACTTGTCTCGGTTCATATTACAAAACGCTCTTCTTTGTAATACATTTGTGACTCTTAAATTCTTTAATATTACGTTATTCCATAATATTATTGTGTCACTCGATGACACTATCTGACAATCTGGGACACAACAGCTTGAAAAAATAGTAAAATTCTCATCAATTTCGAACCGTCACATGAGAAAGCTCCCTTGAATTTCGCATTATTTAGTTCCATATGTTCACATGTAAATTCATAATAGACAATATATACACTCTCCTCTTCAGCGACAAGCCCCCCATTCCTCCGGCACCGATATCTTTGTTGACTCTAGAAAAAAACAATCTGCAACCCAAGAGACGGTTCACATAGTAAGAAAGAGCACAGCGTCAGAGGAGACGAACACGGTAAGCTCTGTTTTAGTGTTCTAAGCAAAATAATCATTAGTAATGATTATCAGACATCTGTGAAAAACCTAACTCAGAGCGAATTATTGTTTTTCTCTTCACAGACAAATCGTGACGAGCTTAGCAGAGATTCATCCACATCAAAATTGGAAAATTTGGAAGAGATATATAATGAGATTCTTTCTTGTGTAGTAAGTGGTCCTGTCAAACTCCATATTATTGTAGGTGGATCTTCACCATAATATGAGTGAACTGATGTTTCACACACCAATCGGATGCGCTGCCTCAATTCCTACGTGTTGTATGATTGTAAGAAAACGGTCCGAAACTCATGGGAAAAGTGTTTTTCGACATCTGGTAGGAAACCACTCGCCTTTTATGAACGCTAAACACCGCTCACATAGTAAGAGCGGCGTTGCCCTTCGAGTTTCAGGAAATACTGCCATAGTATTAGAGAAAAAAAAGCAACCTTGAAAAGTTAGGGACATAACATCTATAACACTTCGTTGATCATATATGCTCGATCCACCAATTTCCGTCCTTCGAAATCCATACTGAATGAAACAATTATGGGCAATTGCATAGAGCAAGATTCCGCCGAGTTTAAGAGCGCGGCTGGTTGTGAATTTTCTTATCAGCGAAAACTGTTTAGAATTTTTCTACTCCAAGAAATAAATTTGAAAAAGTAAAAAATTCGTATGACATATTTTCCAATATAGCGACATAAAACACAAAATTAATTTTTGAAACACTCTGAACGTTTTTATCAACAGTACAATACATTAATATTTTCTCTCAATTTGTAGGATGATAGTGATTTCACTGAATCAGAACCGCCTCATAATGCCAATTTATCAATGGGGAACCATGGCACAGAAAGCGCTCAAGAAGAGGAGGAAAATCATTCGCAAAAACAACTGAGCATTCCATTGAAAAAAAAAACACAAAGTGAAAAGACTTTCAAGATGAAAATATTGAAACAGACCAAATTGTCAAAGTATTTTCAGAAGACTTCCAATAGTAAGACTTCAAATAGCCTTTCAAATCCAGATCACCAGGTACACAAAAAAAGAATTCAAGACAGTGAGGAAGGGAGAGCGGGCGTGCGTGAATTCGTAAGCGTCTCACATCTTGATGTTTTTCGACAGCGACATGCTCAGTCGATTGACTCCAGAAACGATCATTTCCGTGACTCCATTTTTGCTGCTGACTTCTTGACAACTGATCCACAAGGTTTTCAGGTATAAATGATTATACTTTTATTTGAGTTCGAAAATGACTGTTTAACGTTTTTTTTGTTGTATCAAGAATGGTACGCTGGAACAAGAAGAAGCAGCTGAGCCAACAGCATCATCAACAATGAGGTCTTGCATTCCTAACTGTCGTTCTCAACGCACATGGGTTGATCTAAGTCCACGAGATCTTCAGGTATGCCTAATTACGTTATGTGAAGCAAAATAGTAGTTTCTTTTAGATTTTTAGCATGGCCTTCTCCAATGTAGACTAGCTGAATACTGACTACTATTCGTTCTGAGCTGAAAGAATATTCAAGGTTCGAGTATAAAGATATTAAAGACATAACGATACTATCCAATGATCTGAAACTCAGTTTGTTCGGATTGCTCTTCAATAAACCACTTTTCATCACATTAACGTAAAAATGTGGAATTCGTTATTGGTTCGCTGGGTTTATTAACGTACAACACTCGATTTATAGTCTGAAATAGAATAGATTTATATACAGCGAAATAACTTGGTTGACGCCATGAGAGCCGGCATTGAAATGTTAGCTCCCACGACAACAATAGGATCGTATTTTCGAAGATGCCCGAATTATATGGAATTATGACCAGACGCGTATCACGTTATGCAGGTTTGTCGGTAGGCCGAACGCATAAACAATGGATTAGCTTGCTGCGTCATAAATATAGAAGTAGCTTTGCTATAAAAAAATCATGAGTTACTGATTGAATCATCAGATGGGTTTCAAGATCATAAATCACCGGAGATGCTGGTATCATATATGAATGGTCGCCATTTTTAACTGGTCGGTCGTGTAAATCCTTAAAATTTCAATCACACTTTTAATTTGAAAAATTAAAATAAGCTTTTGAACACCCCGCTTATTTCTGTCAACTTAACAATACATTATTATTTTTATTTAACTCTTAGGATGACAGGGAATTCACTGAATCAGAACCGTCTCATAATGAAACTTTTTCAATGGAACACGATGGCACAGAAAGCGACGAACAAAAGGAGAGAGATAATTTGCGAAAACGACTGGGCATTCCATCGGAAATAAGAAAAAAAAGTGAAAAGAGTCCCAATACTAAGATATTAAAACAGACCAAATTATCAAACGATTTTCAGACGGCTTACAATGCTAGCCTTTCTAACCAAGATCAGCAGGTACACAAAAAAAAACAATCAGAGAAGAAAAGGAGAAGGAAGTGCGCGTATTCATAAGCGAATCTCATCTTAATCTTATTAATGCTTTTCTACAGAGAAATGCCCAGATGGTTGACTCGAAAGGCAATAATTTCGATGGCTTTAATTCTTCTGATGACTTCTTTCCAACTGTATCAGAGAGTTTGCAGATATAAGTCATTCTACTTTTATTTCAGTTCGAGAATGATTAGTTGTCGTTTTTTTTTTATCAAGAACGATATGCGCGGAGAAGGAAACGCAGTTGAGGTGACCGCATCATCAGCGACTAATTCCTCAATGCCTACGGGCCATTCTCAACGTAAATGGGTTAATCTGACCTCAGAGGACTCTCAGGTATGCCTAATCATATTATGTGTAGCACATTAGCAAGGTTCCCTCCAATGGAGAGCAGCTGTTGCGGCCTACGGGCGGCTGGACGCTCGGTTATTTTCTCAAGAGGGTGACCCCCAAAACTGAATTGACCGCGACCAGTTACGTCTAAACGGAGGCCAAAGTTAAATGGGCTCGTATTGTGTGGGATAAAACACTGAAGTGTACCATGCTAGGTTACGCGGGAATTCTGATTAGTGAGAGAATCGCGCAGGGATAGAGAG